CCTTAGTTGCGGGTTGTTTCTCTCTTCGATTATTTCCACCTGTTGCTTCTTGTCCTGCCTTCTGGCACTTTGCAAAATAAGTTGACTCTATTAAATTTACAATTTAAAAACACATCGACAACACCTTTACAAACTAGAAAGAAAAAGAAGGAAGAAAGAAAGAAATAAAATCTGTTTTTTTAAAAAAAGGAAAATAAGTTGACTCTTTCCTCTTCTTTGGGGCAGCCCCTCAAATATGGGAAGACTGATACCATGTCACTCCTGGGCCTTGTTTTCACTACCTAATTCCAGCAACCGGTCTTTGTATATTTTAGCCTCCGGATCGCCTAATCATCCTCGTTGCTCTTCTCTGTCCTCTTTCCAGAATCTCAACACTTCTTTTTATATGGTGACAACCAAAATTGGATGCAGTATTCCAAGGGTGGTCTGACCGAGGCATTATAAAGTTAATACTTTATTAATACTTCACCCGAGAGCAATAGCCATAGCCCTTATATAGACTTATATACCGCTTTATAGTGCTTTTACAACCCTCTCTAAGCGGTTTACGGAGTCAGCCTTTTGCCCCCAACCATCTGGGTCCTCGTTTGAGCCACCTTGGAAGGAGGGAAGGCCAAGTCAAACCTTGAGGTGGTGAGGTTCGAACTGCCAAATTTCTGGCAGTCAGCAGAAGTAGCCTGCAGTACTGCATTCTAACCACTGCACCATCACTACGGCTCTTTGTGTGATGTTGATTCCATACCCTGTTAACACAACTGAGTTCTGCACCGGACTCCAAATCCCATCCCTTCCTTTCAGAGGTGGTATTCAGCCGGTTCTGGAGAACCGGTAGCGGAAATTTGGAGTAGTTCAGAGAACCGGCCAACCCCATCTCTTCTCTGCCTCCCATCGAGTCCCAGCTGATCGGCTGGGTCTCCTTCGGTTGCCCTGCCCAGGAGAACGGAGCTGGAAAGCAGGTCAGTGGGGTGGGGAGGGAACGGGGATTTTGCAGTAACCTTCCCCTGCCACGCCCATCATGCCATGCCCACAGCACACCATGCCCACCAAGCCACGCCCACAGCTGATTGGCTGGGTCTTCTTTGGTTGCCCTGAAAAAAGGAGAACGGGGCTGGAAAGCAGGTTAGTCGGGTGGGGAGGGAAGGGGGATTTTGCAGTCACCTTCCCCTGCCCCGCCCAACAAGCCACACCCACAGAACCGGTAGTTAAAAAAAAGTTTGAATCCCACCACTGCTTCCTTTCGAATAAACCCGAAATTCGTCAAGCCAGGTCTGCCTCTTCAAATGAAGACCAAGATAGTCTAAATACGGACAGAAGTCAGGAGGCCAACGCTTACTTTTCGGCTAGGAGAAAAATCTGCTCTTCATCAGCTGAGTCCAGCCAACTGGCTCACGTGCTTTTGATCCCACCAGATTTTGAAGGCAGGTGTGGGTCACCCTGGAAACCACAGGGCGGAGTTGCTAGGTGAGCACACAGGTAATAAAGGAAGGGCCAAGGAGTGTGGGGGATCAAGGCCTCTCCAGGTTGGATCCCCAACGTGGCCTTCACAGGTGGCCAACCGGAGTTTAACCTCGAGTTCTGATTTAACGATAAGGATAATTCCCAGGATTAAGCCGGGAGGGGTAGCTGACATCAGTCTTGCTCATTTCATTTTCTTTTTCAATTAAAAAAAAAAAAAAGATTTATGAGTTTCAACACAGCCTCAAGATATGAAAAAGGAAAGGATTTTTTTTTTCCTGCGGCAATTCAATCAGATTTACTTATTCCTTTTACTGCTTGCTTACAACAATGAAAAGAAAGAAAGAAAGAAAGACAAACAAGACATAGCATTCAGTAGTTTTATTCTTTTAAAATGTTTTATTTAATGTTTTTTAAAAAATGTTCTTTAACGATAATATATATTTTTAAAAGCTGTCCAGTCGCTGGAGGTTTTTAAGAAGAGATTGGACAACTGAAATGGTATAAGTTTTTCTGCTTGAACAGAGAGTTGGACTAGAAGACCTTCATAGTCCCTTCCATCTCTGTTATTCTATGAAAAAAAAAAAGGACTAGGGGTGACATGATAGCAGTCTGCCAATATTTGAAGGTGGGTCAAGCTCTTCTCCAAAGCCCCTGAAGGCAGGACAAGGAGCGATGGATGGAAACTGATCAAGGAGAGAAGCAACCTGGAATTAAAGAGGAATTTCCTCAAGATGAGAACAGTTAATCAGTGGAAGAATTTGTTTTCAGAAGTTGTGGGTGCTCCAGAACTGGAGTTTTAAAGAAGAGATCGGACAAGCATTGGTTTGAAATGGCGTAGGGTTTCTTGCTTGAGGTTGGACTAGAACCAGTGGACCGGGGAAGAGAAAATTTTGGTGGTCTGCAGAGAAATGTTCCTCGCAAAGCAATTAATCCAGGTTTCACGGGAACGCAAGGCTGCGCCAACTACAGGCCCCGCAGGAACACGAGGCTTGTGTTGCTTGCATTGCGAGCAACACGAGGTATTGAGGGGATGGGGGAAAAGGAGGGTGGGGACTTGTCCCATAAGCCCCACGCGCCTGGCCTGGCCACCGAGCTGCTTCTTTCCGCTTCTTTCTTCTTCTGCTTTTGGCTGCACTCAAGGAAAGCAGCAGAAGTCTCTCTTTCTCACCCCCAAACTCCACCAGAAATGAGTCTTTGGGACCCTGCAAGGCCTCCTGCTCCAAGAGGCTGCGCCGGCAAAGACTCATTTCTTGGCGGAGTTTGGGGGAGAGAAAGAAAGACTTCTGCTGCTTCTGCTGCTTTCCTTGCATGAAGCCAAAAGTCTCTCCCTCTCTCCCCCTGAGAACGGAGCTGGAGACGGTATCCTGCGATCCCAAATAAAGAACGATTGATCGGTAGGAAAACGGGGTGGGGGATTTTCCTGAAGACTTTGGGGGGGGATTTTCCCAGGGTCTCTGGTCCGCGGGATTTAAAATGATGAGTTTGGTGGTCCCCGAGGTCCAAAAGGTTGGTGACCCCTGGACTAGATGACCTCCAAGGCCCCTCCTAACTCTGTTATTCTGTTATTCTATCCTGTATTCTGGTTGCAAGGAGATCCGGATGTCGTTCAATCACAATTTTGGTTTAAAATGACGCTGGAAAAACAGGACAAAGAGGCAGTTGCTGGAAAGACAGAACAACCGCAAGAAGGCTGGTGGTGTGTTACCTGAGTGGGCAGGTGAAACACTGCCGGCCCTGTTAAATAAGCAATGATCAGACAAAGACCAGCCTGGAAAATAAGTCGGGGAAATTGGTGCCAATTGAATTTGCCAGCTGCTCTTCCAGCGCACTCAAGTCATCGGATAGGCCTGGAAGAAGAGAGGGGAGCTTTAACCTGGCACCCCTCCAGGTGCCTTGATCTACAATTCCCATCCTTGACATCAGACATGCCTTTTCAATCAAAGATGCCCAGAATGGATGAAAGAAAAATGAATTCTTTTTTGAATTGTGCGTAAATAAGGTTGATTTCTATGTGTCTGTCGAGGTCTGATATGTCCAGTGCTTAGGAGTCAAAAACAACCTTGACCTCGTAGTGGAGATGGCTGGCATTGACCTTTAATAAGTAGTAATAACATCAGAAAAGAAAGAAGCAGAGAAAGAAAAGAAAGAAAGAAAAAGAAACAGAGAAATTGTAAGTCGTCCAGTTACTGGATAGGGGAGATATGAGGCATAAAAAGAAAGAAAGAAAGAAAGAAAGAAAGAAAGAAAGAAAGAAAGAAAGAAAGAGGGAGAGAAGAACGAAGGAAGGAAAGAAAGAAAAAGGAAAGAAAAGAAGTAATAAAGGAATAAAGAAAGAAAGAGAAAGAAAGAAAGAAAAAAGAGGGAGAGAAGAACGAAGGAAGGAAAGAAAGAAAAAGGAAAGAAAAGAAGTAATAAAGGAATAAAGAAAGAAAGAGAAAGAAAGAAAAGAAAAACAAAGAAAAAAGAGGGAGAGGAACGAAGGAAGGAAAGAGGAAAAAAGAGGAACAAAGGATGGAGGAAAAAAGAAAGGAAGGAGTAAAGAAAGAAAGAAAGAAAGAAAGAAAGAAAGAAAGAAAGAAAAAGGCGTATTGGGGAAAAAGCAACCCCCAACTACATTTCCCAGCGGCGCCCGCGGCTCGAGCAGTCGAAGGCATGGGTGGGCGGGGCCCTTCAGGGTGGGCGGCGGCTTGAGTTTCTCCGCCCACCGGTCCCCCCCAACTCCTTATACTACTCACCCACCCTTTAGGCGCGCGCTGGACTGGGGGCGGGTAAAAAAAAAAAAAAAACAACTTTCTCGCGCACCGCGCATGCGCGCTAACCGCCGCCTTTGCCCTTTTTTTTTTTTTTTTTGCCACAGACAAGGCGGTTGCCGAGGGGTTTTGTTTTTCTTTTTTCTTGCGCGCACGCGCGAAAGCGGTGGCGGGGGGGGGGGGGACAGACGGGCGGACTGTGGTGGTCTTTGGTGGCAGCGGGAGGTTCCATTTTAAGGATGAGGAAGGGTCCCTTGGCCCCTCTCTCACCAATATTTATTAGGACGCTTCTCTTGAAAAAAAATCTCCCCTTTCTCAATGTTGCCTCTTTCTCCCTCCCCCTTTCCCCCCCCACACAGCAATCCCTTGTGAGGAAAAGGAAAAGAGCAGAAAAAAACAGGTTGAGAGGAGGCAGAGAAAAGAGGAGATTGACAGGCTCCTCCTCCCGCCCCCACTTATTTTAGGGAGGCCACGCCCCCGCCCTTTTTAGGCAAGCCCCGCCCCTCTGCTTTCTCCCCTCTCTCTCTCTCTCCCCCGCCCTTCCTGAAAGCTCCCCCCCCTCAGCCAAGCTGAGAGGGGGGGGGGGCTATCACCAGGAGGAGCAGGCGGTCACGTGACTCCCTCCCTCCCTCCTCCCCCTCCTCCCCGCCTGCAGGTCGCTGCCCGCAGTTGCACGTGTGAACGGGGAGCGCCCACCGCCGCCTCCGCCTCCGCCGCCGGGTCGACCACCTGATCCCCCCCCTCCTCCCCTCTCCCTCGTTGGAGACCACCCGCTCGCCTCCCCCACCCCGT